CTGATATTTTTATAACTAGCCATTTCCCAGCTGTACTTTTCTTCGCACTTACATAAAAATAATTCAAGAATTAACAAAATATTGGTCCAAAATTTATTATTGACCAGTCATCTTCTGAATTAAATCATTATCCATTCAGTTAGCTAGTTAATTAGTAGTGCTGTTTTAAAACAACTTTGTAATTGAAATATTGAAAGAAACACTAAAAGGTACTATTAAAAGAATGATTAATAATATTTTTTTACGACTACTTAAGTGGTTCATGATAAATGAATCACTTTGTATATAAATATAAAGTGTAATTAGTATTTTTTTTTATTGAAGCAAATTTGCTTCAATAAAAAGCTGATTTGATTGGATTGACACGATTCCGGGGAACCGTGATACACTAATTACCCACCCCGCGACACACTTTGCACATTCACTGCACAATAGTGATGTGTAAATAAACTCGTCGTTGCTACTTTGTCACGACGAAGTTAATGCTACTACTTGTCGTTGTTACTCTAAAATAAAATATATGGCAACTGACAAAGAAATACTAATGGCTATAACGGTAGCTGTTATAAGCTGTACTGACTATAGCAATCAGTACAGTAAAGTGTTTATATCAAATATGCAATTTATTTATTCATTTTTTTACGCATTAGCAGTCCATTAAGGGCCATAGCGGCCTCCCCCAAAGAAGGTTTCTTAATCAATTATACTCCGTGGCGGGTGGTTAGTCCGTCGTCGGAGAGAGGAATGGCGATTTCAATTACCGAACTCATCTGTCGTTCGTCAAATGAAGCTGCCCGTGACCGAGTTTCGAATCGTAGGCAAACGTGTCAAACATTGCCACACCGTCACTCAAATTTATTTTACTATGGAAAATCGAATAACTTATGTTTTGACCAAGGATAAAAATTAATCAGTTACCACTTTTCTTATTACTTGTCTAATTAATGATAACATTGATTCCATCAAATTCGTATACTTATAACTGAATAGACTGGGGATCTTAAACTTTTTATACATATTGACATATTGTCGTTTCGTTATACACGATGCCCCGAGACTCGTGCCACCTTTATCAGCCGTCGCCTTATTATGAGTTTTTGACTGACCAAAACCGCACGTTATACGCCGCGGTGCCAAGTCCAGCAAGTGCCGCACGGCCGACGACGTCCCGCCGCAAATTATACGGCAGTCTTCTTCCCGTCGTGAGAGTGACAATATTGACGAACCGTTCCGCACCCGCATACCGTCGCCTACAACGCTGCTAACCATTTGGCGTCCAAGGATCACGCCGGACATCGCGTCGTCGACGCCAGCGAAAATGCCGCGTATTATACGAAGATTATTATTATTGTGTTCACCTTTTCGGTTTGTTTTATTTATTTATTTTTTTTAAATAACCTGTTGTTGCTATATATATAATTAATAATATGCTATATTAGAATAGAATAAAAATATACAGGCTGTAATAGAAAATTTAACTCGTTTTTGTGAGGAAGTGAAAGTTATAAATGCATCGCCGGGCCGGTTCGTGTCACTCGGCGTCGCGTGACCTGTCGGACGAGGAGAGGCAGTTGTGTCGCAATCGCCATCCAGCGGTAAAACAGGAAGTGCAGTGCGACACGACACTGTATGTTAAAAACCATATATCATCCTTAGGGGTGAATGATATAGCAGCTTGAAAAAATCACGTCAAGTATTATATTTTTTTAACTACGTTAAAAACTGAATAGATATTGGTTTTGTGATGAGTATTTTTTTTCATGTTTGTCCATTAAAGTTCTCAGCTTTTACTGCACCGACTTTAATGATCAATACGCCAAAAGAACCCGATTTTAATCTTGTTGAATCAATACAAAATATTTAGTAGAATATAAGTTATTAGATTTATCAAAACATCGTGAAACACTCCGTATTTTGTGATTCAAATAGATTTTTTTAAAGCTAGCCAGTTGATTTTTATTTTTTAATACATTTTATTTTTATTTATTACATATGTCTCTTCATTTATCTGTTATAAAATAATTAATAACCTCCCTTATAACTTATAAGGGCGTTAACTTTGAATTATCTTTAATACGAAACTGAAAACATTTTCATTTTGTGATGGTGTGTGTGTTTTTTTTTTTTGTCAGTCCATGATAATTCTCAGCTCTGACTGGACCAATTTTAATGTTCAATACGTAAAAGGAACTCGATCTCAATCCATAATAACCAATTCTTTGCAAAAATTTGAAAAACCCGCTCAATTTTAGAAGTTTTAAAGCTAAAATATTCAAATTTTTAGATTATAAAACTTTGAAAAAGATATTTTCACACCTTAAATCAGACTTCAACAACAATTAATAAAAGCAACCAATAAGGAAGATATTTTTATAATTAGTTATTTACAACGGCACTCAAATTGTATAAGATGTCCAAGTTCATAACTACAACAACTCAAAAAATTAAGATTTCGTGTTGATCTCTAGTTTAGTTTGAGTTTTTAATTTAATAGTAAATGGCATTTGGATTTTTGATATAACTTAATTCGTTTATTAGATATAATCATTTAAAGTTTCAAATTTTTGAGTCAATATACAGGTATAATACACGAGGAATAACAAATATAGGTCGCTAATTGGTTTTTTATGACATTGCTGTCACAATCACGAATTGTTTATTATCAATTATGACTACCAATAGATATACTTTTTGTATTGTCAGTTAGTGTATTTATAAACATTTTTAAAAATTGTTTTTATATTAGAGGTTATGTAAAAATATTTTTTTAAATTATTATACAAAATCATTTAAATAAAATTTTTTTTAATAAAAGTTCCATAACTTTTTTAAAATTGAACAAATGAACATAAATTTTATTGATAGATATTATTGACCTATTATTTGGTATATTTTTTGTGAACATTTGACCCTTTACCTAGCCACAGGGGAGATTTAAAATGATAACTTTTCTACAAAAAATTTACTTTTTCAACTTAACATTTAAAAGTGTTTCGGAAAGTCTGACACTTTTATATATATCTTAAATTAAAGTTAATGTAATATACTTTATCATAGTTGCCAAATGTTATTTTTGTGTGAAAATTCTGGATTTTATTTTTACATCTTTAACTTTATAATACTTCAACTTATTGAAAAGTGTATGGATCAATACAATTTTTTTATGAGAAATAATATTTATATCCCTGTTACATTCGACATACTATATCATATTAAAGATATAAATAATGAAATAACAAACCATGTAGCTTTTTTAATAATCCACCAATTTTTTAAAATTAAACACTATCTAAAGATTTGCATTGAAGCGTTTTTATGATAGTGATTTTAATCACTGTCAGATAGCATTATACTTAATCTAACTATGCCACGTCACCACTGTGCCGCGACCCCAATGTGCTGGGTTTTTTTTAGTTATTTTTTCCTATAGTATTTTAGTACTCCGGTAATTTTTTTAATGACTTGCAGATTTCCATGTAGTTACCAACATATAATAATTAACTTTATTTCTTGACTTATTATTTCAATTTCCTTATTAAAATTAAGCTTATTTTTTTTTTTTTAATTAGATAGCAATCCATACATATGTAGTGTTTTAGGACAATATAAGTTTTTAACTAGCTTACAAAAAGCAATTGAAACTGAAAAAGGTTGGGAAATTGTATATGAAGATTTGAATAAATTAAAATTATTCTTAGCTAATCCAAATAACATTAAATTACACATTACTGGTAATATAGATAAATTATGTGATATTATTCCTGAAGCTTCTGCTGCATTACAAAACATTATTCCAGATAATTTAAAGAGACCAGTACATCCGTAATAAACAATGAGTTATAGTATTACATTATTTAATATTACATTTAATTGCAATTTTAATTTTTAGATTTAAAACACAGTTGGATTCTGAATTTATGTTACCTTTAAATCAATGTGGAATTCGAGCTTGTATTGTTGGAATGGGTTCTATTGAATCAAGTTATTTCATCCAATCTACTGATTGTATAAAAGATTGTAATCATCAAGACTTTGCTTCTCTTCGTGTATTTGTGTCATACTTTACTCAGGTGGAAGTATGTAATCAATATGATTAATACATATTTTTCACTATAATTTTTTATGCGATTGAGAAAAAAACGATTTAATACTTATTTCCAAATCAAAATGGACTGAGAAATTTATGTTCTTTTAATGAATGTAGAAATGTGATATATTAAAAAAGTGCAGGAAATTAAGAAGTATATATTCTTAATTAATTCTGTGTTTGCCTATAGTTTCAATGTGAAATTTAAAAGTATAAACAATTTAATAGATTCGTGATAGAATTTTTTTTTTAGCTCATGTTGGCTATATTACTTTTTGTTAAGTTTTATTTGAAATGGCAAATAGTTTTAGTTCAAGTAATTTTTAAATAATTTATGTAATGTTCTAATTTTTTATATTAGGCGATAATTAAATACATTAGACTAGATTTAAAATTTAAAAAATGTAGATATAAGCAAAGAAAACGATAATTAAAAAGGGCGTGTAAGAAAGTAACGAAAAATTAAATGCAAAGTCGAAGATCGAAGATATTTTATCTGGTCTGGATGTGGTATGATGTATCGAAAATTATTTCATATAACTAAATTAATTTATTCAATAATAAATTTAAATTATTTATAAATTTAATCAAGCTATTTATAGTTTATATACATATAGAATTATTATGATACAAAGTGATTTAAAAGTTTACAACTATACAGGGGCACTTGAACCTTTTTTACATAGTGGCAAAAATTTAATGACTAAAATTAGATCCCCTTGATTGTTACTAAGCTAAATAGCGGGTTACGATTTTTTGGTGGATTTTAGTGATTATATATAAAAAAAATTCGGTAATATATAAATTTTACTTTTAATAATACATATTATTACCTTCGCATCAAACCTGAGAATATATTAATTTTAAAATGATATGTTTATTTATTTTCATTAAAAGATCACAAATCGTTTGTAGTTGAAGATATTACACTAAAAAATTGAAATTTTTTTCTTCGTTCCCCGTAAATGGTGAAAATCCTCTAAAAATTACGATGTTCATAATCGGTGAAATTCGATATTTTTTTTCTAAAAATTGTCATAACTCATTAAAAATGAACAAATCAAAATAATTTTTTTTTATATTGAAACCTTATGTATTTCCATTTTAATTGTTATATTTTTTTTGAAAATCTGATCCTTTATCTAACCACAAGAGGGGTTTCAAAATAGCAACTTTTAAATAAAATTCAACTTAACTTTTGAAAATATATCAGAAATAATGTGTCCTTAATAGTTGTGTTAAAATAAAGTTTACTTTATGTACTATAAGATTAAAAAAAAAATTTTCAACAGCAACTATAGTTGCTATTTTAGAAAATTTTTTTAGAAGGTGCCTGACCTAGTAAGTAGAAACATATGTTTCAGCGCACGGGAACCCGGGTTTGAACTTTAGGGTGCCAACAGATATTTTCTTGCGACTTTTACATTGGTGGCGTTTGGTTTCTGGTACAAGCCGGCCCTAATAACCCGTTGATGTAGAAAGTACACGCAGATTGTAAGTAATTAATAAAAGTGTAGCCGACAATACTCATAAGTTAATATGATGTCGTGTCCATTTATTGCACGATAATATAGCAATTCAAATATTAAGACTTTACTTTTTTGTTTTTTATTTCTAATAGTTATCTTCCAATAATTTTAAAGGTGCGTAAATTCCTAAAAAATAGGATATTTCTTGTTGGATGACTTATTTTGGTAATTTAAAAAAAAATGTTTGATATAGATTGTATTGCATTACAATCGGTCGGGCTATTAATAACTTGTTGGATTCGTATATCTTGTAAATTTTTGATAATTATTATGAAAAATTCTATTGAATAAAAATTATTATTCAGGTTACAACGATTTAGTAACTATAGTACACAAACTTAAATATGTTATGTAGTTTTCAAATTTATAAAGGCTTCAATAGGTATAAAATTATTAATATTTTTATTGCTTATAATAGTTTTTTACGTAGTAAACATTAATTAACAACACATTTTGGAGCTTTTATAGCTTAAATGTTAGAAACTTATATAATTGACAAATTGATTGTTTGCTGATAACAATATTTTGACGATTTTTTCGGATGTTATTATCAATTTTTACATAGAATAATAATTAATCTACAATTAGAAAAAAAAAAATAATAATTTTTATATTTAATTGTATTTCCTCATTTCAAAATCAACCATTCACATTATAATCTTAATATGTGAATAGAAATATTAATGTTATGGATTTAAATGAAATACCATAGACTGTCATCAAAAATAAAATAAAATTTGAATAAGTGCAATAGTATATCAAAATTTATTGGTGTTGTACTTTCAAAATCTGCATTAGTCACTCATTTAATTAATGTAATTTTTGTTTTTATCAGGGACCTATATGGAAGAAAGTACGAGGTTTAGGTTATGCATATTCTTATAATATTACTTTAAAACCAGACGAAGGAAAAATTTACTTAGGTTTTGTCCGTTCAGTAAATTTACCAGCTGCTTATCAAGCTACTAAATCAATAATAGTACGTTCAATTTGAAAAAAATAATATTTTTACCTTTATCAATTTCTAAAACAAACCTCAATATGAATTTTTAATATACTTTAAAATATAATTTTTCTATAATAGTTTTGATTATTATTTAATGTAGACATTTTGTATTGTTAAATCTTTCTCTAATTTTAGGATGAACATTTATCCAATGGACTATTATGGGATCAAACATATTTCGAATCAGCAAAAAGTCGTGCTATATTTAAAATTTTGAACAAGGAGAATTCTACTGATGAATCATCTACACTATCAATTTGGTTAAGTTTACGAAATTTAAAAAAAACTTATATCCAGTAACGTTTTAATCATTGTAATGAAATATTTGAAAATTATATTTGTATTTTCTTTAGGGATCTTATTAAACAAATTTCATTAGTGAAACTTGAAGATCTTCCTAAAATTGGCAGGAAGTATGTGATGCCATTATTTAATCCACAATCTACAATAACTGCAGTGGTATGTCCTCCTACGATTGTTGAAGAAACAGCTAATGAATTTGAAAAGTAATATTTTAAATGACATTAAGGGTGAAGTTGAGTATATGTAAACAAATGAAATAATTTTTAAATTCAATTTTTTTCTTAAAATATATACTAGATTTTATTTTATATGAAAAATTTTAGTCCTCATTTGTGTTACTTTAATATTAAATTAAATTCGAAATTAAAACTTGTAGATTTATCTAAAAAACTGAAATTACAATTATTCTATAAGTTTACTATTACACCACTTCACAATATTAATATAAATAACAATTTGCTAATGAAAATATTATTTACATTTACAGATTTGGTATTAAAATGAATGTTTATAATTCATTAGATGAAAGTATTCTAAATAACTAATAGTATACGCGTACTTATTTTATCAAATATAAAAGTTACTTTAAATTCTATTTATTAAATAAAATATATTATTCATTCAAAGAAAATCTAAGTATATATTTAAAAAATTTAAAATTATGACTTTTTGTATTGTAAAATATATTGTTTGTAAAGTATTATTAAATATGTTATAAAATACATAAACATACAGTTTATGTTATATAGTTACACTCTCGCCTGGTATTACTTTACAATCCTTTACTCGCTTTACGCTCTCTCTCTTCCACATAAAATAATCAATCTTTGACCTATTCCTCCTACTCTTATAAGTTAAATAATGTTCTTCCCTTTTTTAAAATAAGTATTAACCACAGCAAGGTCATACGATACTGACAAATCCAGGATTCTTTCTCCAGTCTCAGTCTTCCCACTAAAACCATAGCCTCCATGTACTCTTTCATATCCTCTCATTACCTACATGTCTATTCAAATCTCCACCTATCACCTTATATTTATTGCCCCTAGCATCACCTTATCCACCTTAACCTTAAACTCTCCAAAACACTTCCTTGTCTATTTCACCACATACTATTTGTAGTGCATAAGCACTTTTTCCTCGAATATCAATTTTACGAAGATAATTCTGTCACTTTTCCTAGCTACTTCTACTACTTTACTTTTCATCTCCTCGTCCATTATTATCCCTACACCACTCTTTGTACTAAACTTACCTGAGTACATTATTTTATAACCATCACTTATTTCTCTCGATTTCTCTCCTTTTCACTTAGTTTCTTGCGCACAACAAAAAATGTTCACTTTTCTCTTCTTCTATAGGGTTGGTACGGTAGACAAATGAAGAGAGAATGCNCTTCTACCAGTTAATGTTCCAACATTTTAAGTACCTATTCTTACTTTGTATCAATCTTTCTCCCTTATATTATTTATGGCATGATGGATGAAATAACATTATTTCTACAATCACTTCCGATAAAAGGAGAGAACATGGTGTTATACCAGAATGTCGATTTTAATATATCCAAAGTATTGTACCGTGATACCATGCATTTAGTATTAGAATCCAGAATGGTCAATGGGTAACGAGTGTTGTTGAATAACGAAAACATTAATAGACTTGTGGACTTACAGTGTACTATTAACAGTACAATATCTAGAAAAATAAAAACACGTTTACTATTATGTCATCAAATCGACCGCATCATACAATACACCGAGGGTAAATAGTGAGGTCCTAAAATTGAACAATCAAAGATTGATGAAATGGTTAATTTTATAAGAAGTTTGAATGACAAAGAAATATGCGATACTATTCCTAAAGGTGACATTAATTACATAAGCGAACTGAAAAATTTAGCATACAATAAAATAGTCGATCGTTGGGTTAACTCATGGTCCGAGGGGTACACTTTAAAATAATGTAAGTATAATGAACATAGATTGTCATAACTTTTATTGTTATTAAATTTATAATTATGTTTTAGGAAAAAAAAGAAGAAATGTACGACCCTGCATTTTTCAATACAATAATGTTTACCCAAGAAAATAGTTATAGCTTATGGGCAACACAATGGCCAAACCCCAATTACGTTAGAAAATTAATCTACATTAATAATTTATGAACAATAACTTTAAATATTGTATTAGTTTACTGTAATAAATTTATAATCTAAAATGCAAAATAAATTGTTGTTATTTGTATATAATATTAATTGCAAGGTTTGTTTATCATAAATGTTTTCATAANATTTATTTCATAATAATAATAATAATATTAATTGCAAGGTTTGTTTATCATAAATGTTTTCATAAATATGTAAAAAATGTTAAAATATACGGATGGTTCCGTCAAAAGGTGTATAAGTAAATACATTGTCTGAAATTACTAGAGCATATGCAGTTGTATTAGCGGAAATAGAAGAAATAGATTCGATTAGACAAATATATTTGTATAAATATTGCGCATATTTATATTATTACTTCAGCATATTTCAATGTAAATATTTTTCAGCTACTAGTTTAAAATATTTAAGATCAGAAGAATGATAAAATTGGAACACTGATGTATATGAAAACTCACAACCGGGTCGTTCTTCACCTGGTGGGCTAAATATAAGACGACCTTGCGCTAAAAAGAAATTATACTTTCATTATAAAAGTATACATAAAATCTTGGGTTACACCTACCACAACAAGCGAGGATCCCGTGAATGACATAGACTTAATACGAACTTTATATGCCTACACAAATGATGACAAAGAGATTGCAAATGCATGCCTTTCGAAATTTTTAAACCATTTAAATATAAGCAAAAAACTATAAAAATACCCCATTTATCAAATTTTCAAACCTTTTGCGGCACGAGAAGGAGTTGACCAATCACGACAAAACTTCACCAAAATGTTTTACTTATAGTAATAAAAAAATTTAGGGGGTCCTGCAAACAAAATTTTTAACTCCGAATTTGAGGACTATTTAAATGTACAAATGTACATTTGTTTTAATTACCAATATTTTAATGTAAAAATTTATTTTCCAAATATACAAAATTAGTGGTTTTTATTTTTAACATATTTAGAAATAACTAATATAAAAAAAACATTTACAATTCAAAATGTGATTATTTAAACATATCTTTGATTGTCTTTGCCTGAGTAGTATATTTTATTTAATAAATAGAATATATATTTATTTTTATCTTTGATAAAATAATTTATTAAAGTATTCAACCCAAGTATGCTGTTAGTTATTTAGAAAACTTTCATCTAAAGACTTGTACACATTCATTTTAATCATACACAACCCAACCCAACCCAACACTGTAACTGTTTAGAATCTATATCATTGAATAATAGTTTATTATAAAATGTTAAACATAAGTTACTTTTAACTCAAATGTGTCTCATCATAGGGGTACATTTGAATGAGTTTTATATTAAAAATCCAGCACAGTAGAGTGGTGGCATAGTTGGGACGTTGCATAGTTGGGTTGGGTTGGGTTGATTGAAATCACTATCATAAAAAACGCTTCGATGCAAATCTGTAGATAGTGTTTAATTCTAAAAAAATTATGGTTAATTACAAGCAACAGCAACATCAACTTCAATTTCCTTAATTATACCCCGATTAGTAATTCTTTTAATTATGTATTATATAATTTTTATATTGAATTGTTTTCAAATTATTATTGATATTGATTTTTAATATGTTAAAAATAATAATTTTTAACCTTCTTTATTTCGTCCTTTAAAGTAAATGTTTAAAATAAAAAAAAAAAAATGATTTATTACCATAATTTTTAGCTCAACTGACAAGTTTGAAATTGATATTATTAAATAGAAAAAAGCCCAGCACAGGGGGGTCGCGACACAGTGGCGCCGTGGTATAGTTGGATCAAGTATAATGATATCTGACAGTGATTAAAATCACTATCAAAAATAAACGCTTCGATGTAAATCTTTAGATAGTGTTTAATTTTAAAAAAATTGGTGTTTTATTCCAAAAGCTACTTGATCTGCTGGTTCCTTANTCCAAAAGCTACACGATCTACTAGTTCCTTAGTAATATCCTGATTAAGATAAAGTATGTCGAATGAAAAAGGGTTTATTAAAAAATATTATTTCTCATAAAAAAATTGTGTGGATCCATAAACTTTTCAATAAGTTATAGCATTATAAAGTTATACATAATATAAAAAATAAAATCGAGAATTTTCATACGAAAATAGCATTCGGTAGCCATTTTCGCCGTGAATATAAGTCTAGAGGTCAAATTTTTTGTTTTTTAAATTAAAGTTATATCATTAGCATTAATTTAAGATATTTATAAAAGTGTTAGACTTCCGGAACATTTTCTAAAGTTAAGTTGAAAAAGTTAATTTTTTGTGAAAAAATTGTGTTTTTAAATTCCCTCCTGTGGGCAGATAAAGATATCAAGTATCTATAAAAAAAAAATTATATTGATATGTTCATTTTTGAAAAAGTTAAGGCACATTTAATAAAAAAAATTGAAAAAATTTTGAAAATTAGCGATTTTTAAATTTGTAATTTTTTTTTGAGATTTCCCCCATTTACGGGGAACGAGGGATTTTTTTTCAATTTTTGAGGGTAATATCTTCGACTAGATATGATTTGTGATCTTTTGACGTACCGTTGAAAGAAATCCGTTCGGTGAGAGCTGAGAAAAAGTGGTAACAGGCACAAAAAAAAAACACATCATAGTAAAATTAATACCTTCTCAGCTTCGCATCGAAGCTAAAAATGAAATTGTTAAGATTAATATGCCATCAATAAATTTTATAATTACTATTTACAGTACACTTATCAGAAAAGTTCAATTTTCTTGCATTCGGTAGCTATTTTTACCATGAAGATAAAATAAAGTCCGAAATTTTTTTTTACCATAATAAAGTATATTTCATTAGCTTTAATTTAAGATATATATATAAAAGTGAAACACTTTTAAAAGTTAAGTTGAACAAATTAATTTTTTATGAAAAATTTGTCATTTAAAATCTCCCCCTGTGAGCAGGTAAAGGGTCAGATATATAAAAAAAATATACCAAATGAAAGGTAATGATATCATGCATCGATATAAAACAAAATTATATTGTGTTGGTTATTTTTAAAAAATTTATAGCAATTTTAAATAAAAAAATTTAAAAAATTAGCGATTTTTAAATTTGTAATTTTTTTTGGAGGTTTCCCCCATTTACAGGGAACGAGGGTAATGTCTTCAACTAGATACAATTTGTGATATCTTGACGTATCATTGAAAGGAATCGGTTCAGTGAGAGCTATTTTATATAGATTTCAAACGTATATAGATGGCAAACTTTGTTTATTAACATGTTCGTTCACAACATATAATGTAATAACTACAAGAAATACTTAGGTTGTTACAAATCATCTATTTTAAGTAATATAATATGTAATGAATAACACAATTGAATAATAAACAGATAATTGTAAAAGGTCGTGACACTTCTTGCACATATAGATGAATTAAAATTAACATAAAAACTGTCAATTTGATTCACTACTTCTCAACTTAATTCTCAGCGAATGCAAGAAGTGACTTGATAAAATTACGATTTTTCATTGAATATTGAAGTATATTCATTAACACGCTTATATTAGTTTCACGTGTATGTTGTTGTTGTTTGTTGTTTGTCGTTTGTAAGTTTGTAACTCCACGCGGCACGTGTTATTATGTCGCGTATCCCGTCGTGTATGACCTTGAGATTATACTGTTGTAACGCATTCGCCCCACCCCACTCACCACTCGTAGACAACAATATTTTCTAACCCGTAGACGCGCGCGTGTATTTATGTAATTATGTATATATATAACAAATTTTTATTGTAATTGACACAGCCCGCGTCGTTTCATTATACATAATGCCCCACGACTCGTGCCACCTTTATCAGCCGTCGCCCTATTATGAGTATTTGACTGACCAACACCTCGCGTTATACGCCGCTGTGCAAAGTCCAGCAAGCGCCGCACGCCCGACGACATTCCGCCGCAAATGATACCGTAGTCTTCTTCCCGTTGTCAAAGTGACAACGTCTACGATTCGATCCGCACTCGCGCACCGTCGCTATNATATTTATTTGTTGTATGCGCTGCAACATCGTGTTCCTGATAATAATTGATTGTCATTTAAAATCCCCCCCTGTGAGCGAGTAAAGGGTCAGATATATAAAAAAATATACCAAATGAAATTTAATGATATCATGCATCTATATAAAAAAATTATATTGATTTGGTTAGTTTTTATGAATTTTTTAGTTTTGAACACTCCGTTTATTGAGGTAAATGGTCCGATTAAAAAAAAAAAAGTATGTCAAATGAAAGATACATAGTACTTCTCGTGAAAAATTGTATTGATCCATACATTTTCCAAAAAGTTAATTTGATACGATTTATGATCTCTTGACTTATTATTGAAAGAAATNTTTATTTTTTACTTGTTAATTTGATACGATTTATGATCTCTTGACTTATTATTGAAAGAAATCGGTCCGAAAGAGCTGAGAAATAGTGGCAACAGTTACAAAAAGAAAAACACATTATAGTAAGACTAATACCTTCTCAGCTTTGTCTCGAAGCTAAAATTAGTATACATACAATAGAAAGTATACTAATTTTTTTGAAACCACGGTAAATATATATAATTTGTTTGTAAATATATTTTTTTAATAATTTGTACAATTAGTTAAATAATTTATATTGTTCATATTTTTATTTGATATTGCTGGACATAAATTACTGCCCTATTTTGTTCTTGTGTCTTATTTAAATAATAAATTATAAGTAAATAGATAAATAACGAAGTAAGACCTTAATTAATGTTTTAATTTGTTATACAGGTTTCTATAAAATTTATAATTTTTTTTAAAATTATTTGTATAGAAACATGAATAAAAAACCCAGCACAGGGGGTCGCGGAACAGTGGTGACGTGGCATAGTTGGATCAAGTATTATGATATCTGACAGTGATTAAAATCACTATCATAAGAAACGCTTCGATGCAAATCTGTAGATAGTGTTTCATTTAGAGAAATTGGTGGATTATTCCAAAAGCAACATCAACTCTTATTTCTTTAATTATATTCTGATTAGTAGTACTTTGATTTTAAAATATAATATATGAATAAAGACTAATTATAGTTTTCAAATTCAGTATGAAATTGTGAGGCCAGCTATGATGTATGGTTCATAGTATTGGGCGGTTGATAAGAAAGTAGAGCAGAGAATAAATGTAGCAGAGATGAGAATGCTTAGTTGGATGAGTGGAGTGACTAGAGAAGATAGGATAAGGAACGAGCATATAAGAGGAAGTATAGGTGTTGCGTCAATCGTGGATAAGATGACAGAAAATAGACTTAAATTGTTAAGTCATGCTATGAGGAGAGAAGAATCGAAAGCTGTAAGAACAGTTATAGAAATGAATGTTGAAGGAAGATCTCATCTTCCTTCAATATTCATTTCTATAACTATATAAGAAGAACTATATTCTTATATTCTATAAGAGGAGATAGAGGAAGACCAAAAAAGAGATGGAGGGATGCTATTGAATGCGATTCGAGGACAGCTGATATGAGCGTAGAAGATGTGGGAGATCGTGTCAAGTGGAAGCTTAGGATAAGGGTGGCCGACCCCAAGTAGTTGGGATTAAGGCAAAGAAAAAGAAAAATATTACCAGAAATTCCGGTGGCAATTGACATAATATGATTGTTGTTTCGGAATGTACAATTTAGCGTTTAGTTGGGTTTAAATAATATAGCGTCAAATCAATTACCTACTCTATCGCTTGTATATTAATATACACTACACTTTAATGATACAATAAATAAATAAACTCACACATACACACATATGCATTTATAACATTGTGTCTAACGTAAGTGTAACATGATAAAAAGTAACCGTAAAATGAAAAAAATGGAATATAAATTTTAGTACTCATATTAAATGTAATGTAACTCGAAAAATATTTGTTTAAATGAAAAAATATAAGATAATTTTTTTGTTTATAATTGTCTTTTAAACAACTTTTGTACGAAACTTTTTTTTGTAAGTTAAATATTTTTTGAGAAAATTAAAAAAGCTCATATTTTTGAACTTTTGCGAGGCTGTAAAAAAAAAACTCAATTCCAATCAATGAGGACTATTAGTATGTCATTATACATATTTTAATTCAATTTTAAAAACAAACAGTTTTTATTGAAAATTATTNATATTAATAAAACAAAATTTGGTTGGGCATTTTTTAAGAAATTTTTCCTTTGTTGACTGGCCTAGATGTCAATTGAGTCGTCCAGTTGCAAAAGTGCGTAAGTCCAATTTCAACCAAAATCGATATTTTACCATTTTCTTTTTATTTGTCCATCATTGATTTCTTGTACAAATTCTCAAGTTTCAAAACACGTTATTTCCTACTTAATTTTTAATTTAAAAATTGAATACAGTTGCAAAACAGGGTAAGTCCATTGGTATTGTGATACCAAAAAGTAGTATGTCCCGAGTAATTATAGTACAGCTGCAAAACGGAGTAAATCCCTATCCATTGGTTCCATGTGTTCAAGCACACAATTACAAAAGTTAGTACAGGTACTTTGTTCATCGATTCATTCAACCATTTTTAAGTAAAATTAATATAAAAATGGTTTTAGCTCAGTTTATGGTTTAATATTATATAGAAACATATTGGTTTAAAATACTTGTGATAACATTTTGATACGGTAATCTGGAAGGATTTCATGATAATAATATTACCTCGCGCGTAATAGTAATAGTTTCATTAAATAACTCAATGCAAAACAATAATATAATTTCAATTGCAACACCCGGGAATGCAAGGAAAAAGACTGCAGTTCCATCTCAATGGAAACGAGAAAAGGAAAAACGACGAAGGTAAATCATTGTTTTTATTTTATTTACTACGTTTAATATTTTATGTAATATACAAATAGTAGTATCTAATAATTTCAATTTTAGACATTCATCTACTGGATTTCCAACTCGCCCTAAATGTGAACATAACAATTCAAACCAACGGCAATACCAATGTAAAACCTTAACTATGCAAGACTTGAGACGAGCTCACCAAATGTTCTATGATTTACCGGACAAAATTAAGCAAGACGAAATAATTTTGAGGTTTGTTGTTATCAGTCCCATACACAGAAATCGTTCACGTAAGGATTGTTTCGAAAAACAGGTATCTATAAAATATTTTATGCCAAAACTTAATGCAAATGGTGGCCGTGAAAATGTATTAGTTTGTAAAAAAGCATTTACAGATATTTTTAGAATTTCTAAAAAAAGAGTAGATTTTGTATGTAAAAATTATTTTAAGACTGGCCAATCTCCGAAAGAAAATCGAGGTGGACAAAGACCGGCGCCAAAATATGAAATCCAAAGGGAAATGGTGAAGGCATTCATTTTAAAACTTAAACCTATCGAATCCCATTACTGTCGTGAAAAAAATACCAATCGACAGTATTTGCCCAGTGAAATGTCAATTTCCTCGTTGTATAAAGTTTTCAATGATACTACACCGGGACAAGACGTAAAATATGATTTTTTTCGCTCAATTTTTTGTACGGATTTCAATATTGGGTTCGGGTCTCCAGCAACAGATTGTTGTTCTTTATGTATCTCATTAACACAAAAAATCAAAGTAACTCGATGTTTAATCGAAAAAAGAGAATTAAGCACCAAACTGGAAGTTCATAAAAAAAAGGCTGATGCATTCTATAAATTATTACAAAATGAAAATGATGGAGAGATAACATTTTCATTTGACTGTCAAAAAAACTTAGTGTTACCCAAAGTTCCCGATCAAAGTGCCTACTATTCCAGACAATTGTACTTATATAATTTTACGGTTTGCCAAGGTACATCAAAATCAAAACAATTAAAAGAAAATACGTTTATGTATTTATGGTTAGAAACAGACTATAAAAAAGGATCAAATGAAATCGCATCCTTTGTTTATCATTGTTTAAAAAACACAAATTTAATGAATATACACACTATTCGACTGTTTTCTGATGGATGTGGAGGGCAGAATAAAAATCAAGTTATGTTGTTCATGCTTTCGAAATTCTTACAGGAATNATAAATTTTTTGGGGGATTTCCCCCGTTTACGGGGAACGAGGGAATTTTTTTCAATTTTTGAGGGTAATGTCTTCGACTAGATACGATTTGTGATCTTTTGACATATTGTTCATCAAAATCGGTCCAGCGAGAGCTGAGATTGAGCGTTCACAGACACAAAAAAAAAAATAAAAAAAAAAAAAAACACATCATAGTAAAATTAATACCTTCTCAGCTTCGCATCGAAGCTAAAATGTAAACAATTTTTTTATAAATTTTTAATAAGTTAATTTTGTTAAATATTATTTTTATAATTAGTAACTAAATCAACAAGGTATAACTACTCNGTTTGCATACGGTAGTTCTTTTCACCATGAAAACAATTCCAGAGGTCAAATTTTTTTTTTTCAAATTATAGTATATTACATTAGTTTTAATTTAAGATATATATAAAAGTTTCAGTCTTTCCGGAACATTTTCAAAAGTTAAGTTGAAAAAGTTACCATTTTAAAACCCTTTCCTGTGGGATTGTCAAGGGTAAAATGTTAACAAAAATATAAAAAATGATAAATAAATATCTAAGGTATCTATAAAAAAAAAATTATATTGATATGTTCATTTTTAAAAAAGTTATGGTAATTTTAAGGAAAAAATAAAAAAAATTAGCGATTTTGAAATTTGTAATTTTTTACAAATCTCAAAAAATACAAATTTTTTACAAAGAGGTTTCCCCTGTTTACAAGGAACGAGGGAATTTTTTTCAATTTTCGAGGGTAATGTCTTCAACTAGATACGATTTGTGATCTTTTGACATATTTTTCATCAATATCGGTTTAGTGAGAGCTGAGATTGAGCGTATACAGACACAAAAAAAAAAAAAAAATCACATCATAGTAAAAATCTTTAGATAGTGTTTAATTTTAAAAAATTGGTGGATTATTCCAAAAGCTACATCATCTGCTGGTTCCTTATTAATATCCTGATTCAGATAAAGTATATCGAATGAAAAAGGGATTAATATATGAAAAATATATTAAAAGTAAAGACATCATGCATCTATATAAAAAAAAATTATATTGATATGTTCATTTTTAAAAAAGTTATGGTAATTTTAAGTAATAAAAATTTAAAAAATTTTGAAAATTAGCGATTTTTAAATTTGTAATTTTTTTTTGAGATTTCCCCCATTTACGGGGAACGAGGGATTTTTTTTCAATTTTTGAGGGTAATATCTTCGACTAGATATGATTTGTGATCTTTTGACGTATCATTGAAAGAAATCGGTTCGGTTAGAGCTAAGAAAAAGTGGTAACAGACACAAAAAAAAAAAACACATCTTAGTAAAACCAATACCTTCTCAGCTTCGCATCGAAGCTCAAATAATGAAATCTGTTAAAAATTAAAATGTGGCCTAAATAAATAAATTTATTTATTATCAATTTAGATAGCTAATTTAATAAAGAATTAATAAATATTTCATTTTAAAATATGCTCATGTGTTATATAAAGATATATTTAATTATAATTAAAAGTGTGAATTTATGTTAAATAAATAAAGTATACATAATAATAGAGTATAGTAAATGTAAAAATTATGTGTCTGAACACTCTTTATGTACTCAAAATCCATAATTGATAATTGATTTCACATTTAATTTCAACATGAATTTTATAGTTTACTCAAAAATAAATGAATAAATCCAAAATAATTGTAAATTCTTATATATTACTATTAACTTTGTATTTACATTTACTTAAGATGCAGTTGAATATGTACAATTGCATAAAATAAATATATAATAAAATAACAAGATATTACCATAAAATATATGTAAAATGTAAACGTACACTGATTACTTAAATTTATTTGTAGCATTTTCAGTAATTATAAATGTATTATTCTACGTAATGTATATACAAACTATGTATTAAATATATTCATTTATTATATGAATATTTTACGTCATATCGTTATGTATATATATATACTAAATAAAATCCAAATGCTTTTGACGGATGTATGTTCAGTGTTTACTGGACGTGTAAAAAGGTGTTTAGTAAAATAAATTCTGTAAAAAGTATTGTGAGCTATTGAAATTTATTCTAATTATTTTTAAATTCTTTATAGACATTAAAAAATTTTTTTATATTTACAATTTCATTAAATTATCATTAATTTAAAAAATGAATCGAAAATCATGTATAATTTCAGACTTTTTGACTATGGTAAAAAAATATAAGGCTAAAGTAGTCTTTATAAAGTTTTACTAAAAGTAATCTAGGTCTCGAGTAATAGATTATTGAACATATGAACTCTAAAAATTCAATAATTGATAGTTTAATTTATTATTTTCAAAAAATTATTAAAAATATTTTATTTAATACCAACTTAATTAGGAAGAGAATTTTGGAGATAAGTAACTCAAAATTTCAAAAATAAAACACTTGCGTAACCAAAGCTGATCAAACAATATCATTAACGAGAGAATATAAAACGCCATTGCAACACGAAGACTGCTCAAAAAAGATAAATTAAAAATATAAAATATACACGTATTCAAAAATGAAGGGGTACCTTTTTATCATGTTACAAAGTATTTTAATTTTTGGGTTTATAACTGATATTATTTTGGCATCAAATGATGGTATAATAAACCAAAATTTTGCTGATAAATATAGGCTTCTCAATCATTCATTATTTCAAAATGTTATACCAGTGTATAAGTATCAATGCTTACGTACTGGGATTACTATTGTATTTGGTGACATTGATGTTCCAGTTGTAAATGGATACTTCACTTTGGGTAAATTAATTTTACAAAATATTTTTTAACATAAAAATTATTTATTTTATGAAATGTTTAGCCACAGAAACTCTTGATGATGATGGTATTCCACATACATTAGAACATTTAATTTTTAGTGGTTCAGAAGATTATCCTTACAATGGAGTTGTTTATTTTCTGGCAAATCGATGTCTTGGAACAAAAATCAGTGCAAAAACATGTAATTTATCAAAAAATTATTTCAAATGTTGTCTAAAGTCTAATGATTAATATATTATTTTATAGCTGTGGATCATACTTGCTATACAGTCAGTACAGCTGGGAGTGAAGGATTTCTTTCATTGCTTCCAATTTATCTAGATCACATTTTATATCCTACATTAACTGTAATTTTTTTATTTACACTTTATTATAAATTGTCAGTAAATATAATATAATGTAAATATAATGTAAATTTTAGGATTCTAATTTTATCACACAAGTTCACCATATAACATCCGATGGTAAAGATGCTGGTGTTGTTTATTGTGAAATGCAAGCTTTAGAAAATACGGCAGAAGCTATTGTATATCAATCCTTTCTTAAAAAAGTATATCCTGGTAAATGTGGCTACAAATCAGTACACGGAGGCATTATGAAAAATTTACGAGAGTCAACTACTATTGAAAAAGTTTAAAGATTATTATTAAATTTGTGCACAATAGAATAAATAATAACTTATTATTGCTAATAAATTTAATTTGTTAGATTCGTAAGTACCATCAAGCATATTACCGTCCTGAAAATCTGTTACTTCTAGTAACGGGAAAAGTAAAACATTCTTCTTTATTTAATAGTCTGGAACCAGTTATTCAAAAAATTTTATCAAAAGTAATGAAATTCATATTTAATTTTATTATTAATGAAGATTTAATTTTAAATATTTAAAATAAAGGGAAGCCGTGGAGAATATGTAAAACCTTGGCAAAACCCTGTAGATCCTTTAATGGAATCTTCAAATAATGTAGAACTATTTCCATGCGATGAAGAAACCAATGGTTATATCAATATCGGTTGGAGAGGTCCAGTTGGGTCAACTTTTTCATACAAGTATTTGATATATTTAATATTATGTATAATATCATACAGTTTGTTATATCCAAATATAACATAACTTTTGATTCAGTTATCAAATAATTGTAATCTATTTTTAAACAATTTTCGTATTATTATATTATATTAAAATAATTTTTATTATTTGTCTCTAATATAAATATAAATAAATTAAGTACGACAGGGATACAGCAAATTGGGGATATAGAATTTTTTAAATATGTGTAGATTGATATCTGAGGGTGATGAAAATCACTATCTTAAAATGCTTCAAGGACATTTGATAAGTACAAAAAAAAAATATTTATGTACTAGTTTCCTAATACAAAAATTGTTACATTATTATTTATCGAGAAAGGTAACGACATCGAATTGTGGAGTCGCTACCCTCATGGTCATCATAAGATAAAGAAAATTTGAGTTACCCACCACTTAATGGAGGGACTTGAATATAAAAAAAACGCCTAACATTAAGTGGATTTTAAAAATTTTTAATTAAAAAAAAACTATTTATTTTGTTAACGATTTTTAGCATACGAAACTGAAATAATATTGATTTTACCATGATATGTTTTTTTTTTATTTTGTGTC